GTCTTGTCCAGGGAGACGGACCTTTAACACCGCCATGTTATGCTCCAGAGTCAATCAGCAGTTATGGGACAGTCTTTCCCAGTCTAGTGTCCCCAGGTGTCGAGCTTCAATTCCCTTCATCCTAGCCAGGAGAGGCAATAGTCAGGATGATGGGAATAATAATCCAATTGCATCTGAAAACTCTAGTCTGGGAAAGGCTGGCCTAGGGTGTGTTTTGTTTTGCATATTAGAACTCTATTAGGGAAATCATTGGAGAATAATTCCAGTTAAGTATGAGGATGGACATATATCAGGATAACTTCAGGAAGGGGGTAGTGCTGCTTTTGGAAATGAGGTCAGGGCCCTGCTGACCCTCCTTCCCCTCAGTATGGCTCCATAAATGTAGAGTCGGAAGGTCAGTTTTATTTGTGTTTCCCGTCAGTTCCATACATGGGCTCCCACAAAGTCCATGCTATTCCAGGCTAGTGGCTTCATCTTACATCTTGAGTTCAATGGCCTACATAGCTCTCTTAGGATACCACAGTACAGAAATGTTCTATGTGTCAGAGCCTAAGATATTATTATATTTTTCCCTTAAAGTGTGTTGGATGTAAACTCGGCGTAAGTATATATGTACATAGGCATATATGTGTTAGTGACCTCGGTCAAGCGTCTTTCAGTTCCAGGGATAAATTCACTTTCAGAGAAGCTTTCAGTGGGCATATTCCAGTGGTGGTCAGGGCAGAATGCAAAAAGGCAGCATCAGAAGCAAATAGGGTGGGCCTGAAATAGCCCCAACATCAGTATAGTTCAGCTTAAAGTTCTGAGTGCAGTAACTGACAGCCTTTTAGAAAGGGGGGAGAGCAGTGAAGCACCAAACAGTCCAGGGAAATGGGGTACTGCCAGGGGAAGGGGATCTGGCCATCTGGGGAAATCCAGAGGATTGGATAGGGACCCCACACAGAGGCCAGTTTTGACCCTCAGGCCAACCTGACACCCCTGAGTTAGGCCTACCTGGAATACAATAGATACAATGTGCCTGTTAAAAGTGAGATGGAGGATGAGTTTGGAGTAGATGGTGCAGTTGTGGGACATCCTCTGCATGTTCTGAGTGGGTTTAAGACTCTTCCGTGGCCTTGCAGGCCCCTTCCAACTCTACTTGCTCAATGGTTATACTAAGATTATTGATAGTGTCCTGGTATGATGGTGTTCCATGCTGTTGCTGCTCACTCAAGTAAAGATTGACTACAAAGGAAAGGAAGAAGAGCAGGATGGTTTTGAGCCACAATCAGGTGAAATTCATTGTACACACAGAGTGTCCCACAATGAGGTTCCCCTGCAAAAAAAGAAAACTGAAAGGGGGGAAGTACAGGATGAAAGGAACCTGGCTTGCTGCCTTAATTGAACCCCAGCAGAGCACGAGATGTTCATGCGATGCAGCCACTAAAAAGACTGATGTGGTCTCTGATGGTGTTTAGAGAAGCAGAGTGTCTACATCTTGTGAAGGGGTCGCTTTGCTCTGTTCTCTGCTGGTCAGGTCATCTCTGGGGTTCTGTGGGTGGCTCATTTTAAGAGTGGCATTGACAAAGTACAGTGTGGAAGCAGACTCAGTTTTTTTTTTCCTTGAAAAGGGACATCCATATCCATCCTGCATCATAGAACTGATATGGGCATTAAGAAATTGATAGATCATTCTGGGGACAGTGATATTAGTGCTCTCTAGTTGTATGGGACTATAACTCCCATAGACACTGGCTGTGCTGGCTGGGGATAGTAGGATTTCTCTCTGACGGACTGGGGCGCCAGGTTGGGGAAGGCCAGGCCAAGCAGCTTACCATTCCCTGTGGGACATACAAAAGTTTCAGTCCCTCCCTTGCATAGCTTCCCAAGCAAGAGAGTCTTCCTACTACTGTTGATGAAATGCAGTACTAATCGCTTTGTGTTAATGAGACCAGCTGCATAAATGTTAGGGCTCTGTGGTATAATGAATTATCACAGTGACTCAGAAGCGCTAAGAACTGGTTAGTTATGTGGAATCAGTTACCAGCTTCTTAACGTCAAGGATTTTAATTGAATCCACCCTGATCCAATGGAATCCACCCTTTGCCAACCGGAGTGAACATTCCAGTTATACAACAGCAACTGCAGTTTCTGTTTTCAATATTTCAGTTCAGCTGAAATCTGGTTAGCAATATAATATTTCTTCCCTCCCGCTTCCTGAAAATGCTTGAAATATGAAAGCAGCACTGAAAAATAAATAGCTTTCCACAAGAGCCTGGGGCTTCCAAGTTAATAACGCAAGGAACATATATAGAGCCAGAGTCGCGTAGCAAATTCCGATATAACCCGGATCGAAATCCTTAAGGCATTTGGATACTAAACACTGAAAATAAAACACAAACCCCTCTGAATACTCTGAGGCCAGTTTCATTGAAAGCTTGGCCAGTTCCAAGCATTTTACAAGCTGCCAAAAGTGGGGTTTGGGGTCCTGTTTGGCTCTGGCTGCCAGAACGGAACAGAGACTTTATTGAATCCAGCCATTCTTTGCACAGTGCTGTGGCATTAAATCCCAGGCTTTGCACTGAGGTTGGATGCATGAGGGGGAGCCTCCTGGGCTGATCAGGAGGGGGAGCCCAGGGAGATGAGGCAGTGCCTGAAAGTGGCCCGCTCAGTCTATCACATAGCAGGTCTGGGCTGGAGTTGATCCAACCAAGAGCTGGAGTCTTGGATAGAAAAGGTACATGTGCAGAAGCCGTGTGGGCTAGCTATGCCTCCACTGCCAAACCCACCAGCCATGCCCCTGCCAGCCATATGTTGAAGAGCATGCGACGGGGCCAGTGCACCAGTCTGTGCACACAGGGCGCCTTCGTGCAGAGCTGATCCTGGAGAGTTCCATGCTGGTGTTCATGCAGAGCCTCGCTTCATGCCCTACAGGCAGGCTTGGTAACCAGGTGTCACCCATGGCAGGGCTAGGATGCATAGCCTCACAACCTCCTAGGCATGCTTTTAATGTTTGAGTGAGTTTGTCTCAACTAGGGATGGGTGAGAGTTTCATTTTGGTTTACTTTTCATAAGGATTTACCAAAATTCACAAAGGGAAAAAGAACTTGAGATTAAAACACTGTAATGTGGGAGAAACCACAAACAGTGCATGGATAGAACCCATCATTTGTTATTGAATTGTGAATTATGGGTTGTTTGTGTTTAACATACCATGGTTTGTTAGCAGGCTGGGTTCAGACAACATGAACTACAAAGCAAAGACAACCCTCCAACAAGAACCCACATACAACCCCCGAGTGTGGATTACTGTGTTGACTGAACCTAGCCAGCATGATGTAGCTTCAGTTATTCGTATTTCTTTAATACTGTGCATAGGTGCTTCATAAAAGTCACAAGCTATTCTCTCAATGCCTTCATTTCCATCTGCTTGTTACGATCTGTCAGGATCTTCACTGCCGGAGGCTATATGGCTCCTGGCCTACTCACTGTTGTTCTAGGGTTCTTATTTGTTCCTTGGTGTTAACATATTTCAGTCTTTCAAAGAAATTGGTTGCATGCATCAACATGTCCCTGAAGTTATCACAGAATTCTTAAGGTGGGGATTACTATAGGTCAAGTGAACTGAATGTGCAGATTTGATCCATATGTGTAGCCTGTGCATAGGCAAAGAAATCAAAATGCAGCACTGATTAGTTTCAGATTCGCTGAGCAGCTAGATCTTCCACAAGAACTGGGTATAAAATTTATCTTAGATTTCACTACATTTCAAAGACATTTCCTTTTCAAAAATGACATTTAGGTTTTCCACAATGCTTTCTGTAAGAGCACAAATAGATCATCGCGCAGAACCTGCCCCTCCTGTGGTCCCTCCAGGGTTTCCCAGGTGGGCCCAATGCATTTCCTTGCTTCCACCCATTTCCCCAAATCACCAGCTGCTTAGTGGAGTTCTGATGCCTACACTTTCCCCCTCTCCCTGTTCTAAAGGGTTGAAATTCTTCTCCTAAGGCTTAGTTTCTGGCAGAACAACTTTAGGCTCAAATATGTTGATATTTTGACTCCTCCCCTTTTGCCTTCAGCCACACCCACCCCTGGAATGCAGCTCCTGAATGCTGCTTCAAAGCGGAATTTGGTCCTCTGGGCTGAAAGAGATTCTGCACCCAAGTTATAGATAAAAGGTGCTGAGACTGAAAGACCAGCAGCCATCCAAGTGTTCTTGGCTGTGAGATTTGAAAGAGGAGTTTACTATTCATTCACTATGATCATGGTATATTTTTTCATTCTTCTGTAATCAAAACAACTGTCTTGGGACTGCACTTTTGTCTGCCTTTCTTAATTCTTAGTTTGAACTCTACAGTGGCTGACATTCTTTCCTGAAAAGTTAGAATGTTTGTGAACATTCTGTGACATTGCATCCTCTCAGCCAGTGTTTTAGGACATTACAATGTAAATGTTCTGATCCCATGAGCACAAGGTCCAGGTTTAAGGCATCCCAGAGGAAAAATTCATCCATATACCCATTGCAGTAGCAGCTGTTGGCTTTCGCTCTCTCCTTAGACTGTGCTTTGTTTTAGTTTTGTGCAGAATACTAGTGAGGGAATTGGGAAGTACCATCACAGTGTTCTACTCTTATACTAGCTGGGTGAATGTCACAGTAGTCAAAGTGTTGGTGCATTATTTGCATTTCCCTTACTGTTGTGCAGTATTGCCCATTGCAAGAGGAAAGGATTGTAGGGTTCTCATCTATTTTTTCAAGTTTGGAAAAACAAATGCTCTTTGCCTAGCTGCAACTAATGTGGGATCATAGAATCATGCACTGAAGAATTTATTCCATGTGAAAGGTAAGAAAGAGACCGGAAATACTTCGAAGTATGCAGAAATTTCGGCCTCATCTACTCGAAGACCAAGGTTGCCAAGCTCCAGGGCACTGCTGTATTCATAGAATTTGTGTGTGCTTGCCGATTTTTATTTCCCATGGACAGCAAGTCTTTTACACCACGCACCTCTTTCTTTTCATGCAGCTACCTTGCTGACCAGTGCTGGAATGGCGGCTTCATCTACCTGATCATGTTGCGTCGCATCAAGCGCAAGGCTCCTCTTCCTCCATCCAATGGCAATAACAGCAACAGCAGTGAACCCAAAGCCAGGCCTACCTCTGAGCCCAGCGGGAAGACAGCTCAAAATGGCAAAAGGACTAGGAAGTTTGGCGTCATTACCCGAACCCCTCCCAGCGGTAAGGAAAGCAAAGGCAGCAGAAACAGCCCCAGAGTGGAACATGAAAATGGGCACTGCAGCCTGGATGGGTTACATCCAGAGGGATCCAAGCCAGAGAGCAGCACAGAGAATGGACTTCAGAAAGCAGACTCTCCTTTCCTGGCAGGGCAGTACCGGTCTCGCCTTTCAGATGGAGGGATTTTAGACCTCAGTTCAAGTGAATTGTCCCTAAAGGTATTCATTTGTGATTTGTTTGTTTGTTTGTTTATAGTCTTTTAGAGCTTTGTGGATACTCAGAAATATAGTCCATTTGAATTTGATTTACTTTATGCTTGCTTCTGATTGGATGACTGGAAGCAGGCTGTGTCAGGGTTTTCCAGTGGACTTTTATCTCTAAGACAGGCTATGACTTGCACATTTGAAAAAAAATATTAGGAAAATTTCTGCAATTAGCATAATTTTCCATATTTTGCATACATTTATGCAATTTTTGCCCACTGAACCTGGCAAAAGCATGTGAATCAAGTGTGATTTGCATAAAACCAGCTTCTCTGTGTAAACTGGCACCCTGAAAAGCATGTGATCTTTGTGCAATTTGTGCAAATTGCGTGAACAACATATGCTTTTTGGGGTGGCAGTATGTGCAATTGCATGAATTCACTCTAATTTCTTTAATGATCTTGTGTGTGTGTGTGTTTTAAATGTACAAATTAAAGCCTGCCTTCGAGATGGGAGTCTGTGAGCTGCTGTTCTCGTGCCATAGCAAGCTGACACACCTGTACAGGTTTGGCAAACCAGAATTCAGGAGCTCAAGTCATGAACATTTGTCAGCTTTTCTGCTCCAAGTCGGATTTCTCATATATCTCTCCATCATTTCTACATCACCCTTTGGCTAAATAGTCCTCCAAACATAAATTTACAGGCAAAATTAATGCATGATATACAAAGAATAAGGGATAGAGATGGGGGATATATGTGTAACTAAAATTTGTAGGAAAAAAGTTCTTACTGGAAGAGACCATGATGGTGACCATTTATTTCTTCTTCCTCTCCTCTTCCCAGGGAAGTTAGCTGGAATGGCCCTTGCAAACAGAGGCAGGTCACTAGCATTGTCTGATAGCTTTAAAAACAAAACCGGACACATGGTTATTTCAAGAACAATGCACTTTATCTTGAAGGTTTAATTTTGGATGCTGCAAGTTTTCTGCAGAGTATAAGGCTTTGTCTGATCTTCTTCCTTTGAATCTCTTGAATGACCTACATCTCTTGCAAAAGAGGATGTGTGATGCGATGCCATTCTGCTCAGAGCTGTTCCACATGCTCACATGTGTACAAACACTCCCACACTTGATTTAATGGGCTGCCACTTATGGGGAGCAGGGCAACTCTGAATGCAACACCATCACAGCGCATATGGTCTTTTGGGGGAGGACTAAATACGTACCAGTTTGACAGGATGTTAAAGTTGCCCTTTTCATAATGTAAAAGCTGTTCTGCAAGGATCATGACAATCTCATAACTGCCTGAGCCCCCACAAATATTGCTGGAATGGATTCATTTGAGGCAGGAGTTTTTTGAAATTCATCAGGGAAACTTCCTAGGAGTTACTTGTCAGATGCTGGGAACAGAATTTAAGTGCGCTGTATGGGCATTTACAAAGTACTCCTGTGATTCAGGAGTACGATTACCATGATGGCTTCCTAAATTTCTGTGGCTCTATTAATGCATTAGAGGCTGGAATCCAAGAGTGTCCTAACAGAGCAGGAAGCAATTGCAAGCATGCAAACGGGACATGGCTGATTCTGGTTGAATACTTCCATCTGTCATGTTGATTTCCACCCCCTCATCTGCACTTAAACAGCCTTCACCATCGCTTTATTTGCAGGTGCATGTCTTAAAGATGTGCAGGCATCCTTGATTATCCGGTGTTTGTCCTTCTTATGGCCCATGTATAGATGAGGTTCCAATGGTGCCTGCATGCTAAGCACCATTGACATTGTGGTAATGGAAACGAACATTTCTGCAGCATCAGCAGTACTTCCCTAGCAGTTTCCCAAGCATTGGTTTCTGCTGGCATAATGCATGGACACTACCGGCTTCTTTCCATTATCCACATTTTAAAGCAAGGTGCTTGAACTGGACAGTTTTATTTTGAAAACAAAGCAGCCGTTGCGTGTCGGTTCCGGTCCAGATCAGGGCCCATAAGAGCTAACCTCTGAAAGTGCCCCTTTGTGCTTTTTGCCCACAAAGGTGTTGTTTGTTGCAAACGGCACCTTCAGGGGCAAGTAGCAGCTGCAGAGGGGAAGAGGGGATATTCAGTAAGAAATCATTCTTGAGCCCCAGCCTGGATCAGGAGCACATCCTGGATTGTGGCCCTACAGCTGCTTTTTTTTTTTTCATAACATAAAACTAGCCAGTTCAAGCACACTGTTTTAAAGATATTAATAATACTACGTGTACTTTAGCCCTTGACTTTTAGACAGGGCAGTCTTCCCTAATTTGGTGCCCATCCTTTCTTTTGGACTTAAGCTGCCATCAGCCACAACCCACATGCCTATCATCAGGAATCCTGAGAATTAGAGTCCAAAACATCCAAAGGGCACCAGGTTGGGGAAGGATGGTGCATAGTGAAGATGCTCTCCATAGAATTAGCCACTCTGCAAAGTGCATGCACACGTGTACACGCTTCCAGCTTAATGGCACTTCCGTCTGGCTGATGCCACCCTCATCTGGAAATTGGTGAGATGGGGGGAATGTGTGGCATAATGGGGGTAAAGTTCCCCAGATTCGTTGCATTCAGCCCATGTTATGTTCCGCTCTACCTTAAAATGGGAATACTGGAGGATCTCTGGAATTAACCCATGAGATGAATGCTTGCCAATTTCGCAGTCCAGATAGCTATCAGTCTCTGCTGGTGGTGTATACAGGTGTCCTCCGTTCTAGCACTCGTCAGCTCTGCGCCACAGAGTTGGGAAGGTCTGATCTAGTACTGCACATTTCCCTTCAATTGGAGCTTTCTCGACTTGTCCAATTTTTACTGGAGTCCTGACTTCACACTGTTTTCCCCATTAGCTTCCTCAACAAAAAGCAAGCGGAGTTTATTTGTTTTCCATGCATAAAAAAGTTGGGAGGGAGCCTGCTGGGGACATGAAGCCTGGTGCGTCTCAATGATTAAAGCGCTGCAGAACGCAGAGGCAAGAAGAGGGCCTTGCCAATGATGAGCTGAAACCTCTGTTATTGCTGCTTGCAACAGAGCGAGCTCCGGGGAACGATCTTATATCAGCAGCCGAGCTGCTGACATAATTTCCTTGGCAAACTCTTTAAACATTCTATCGGGCCATTGCAAGCACCTGAACTAATGTAATCACCCTTTGTTTTTAAAGTTATTTGGAAACCCCACCAGCTAGAATGAGCTTTTCTCTAAAGAGAAAAAGTAAATTTACAGCAACTGTTCCCATCCACTGGCTCTTCCCCTCCTTTTCCTCCTTCAGCCTTGGATTGAGCCAGGGTTCAGCACAGCTTGGCCCTAAACTCTTTGAAACCCAAGTGCTCTTTCCTGGATTCTGTCAAGTGTGCTAAAGAGACTCTGAGCATCCTCTGAGTGCCTTTTCTTACACAGTAAGAACTTGTAGTCAGCTGCCACATATCTTGGCTTTGAGCCATTCTTTTTCTTTTAATGGATCATTTATTTATTTATGCAGGGCCCAAATATTTGTATCTTTCCTTTTCTGCTCAAGGACACAATCCCCCATTCCCCTGCCATTTTATCCTAATAATGACCATTTGACGGAAGTAAGGCTGTGAGATAATGACGCGCAGGTCATGTGATGGTTACAGGTTAGAAAAACTGCCCAAAAGTTTCCTGCCCGCCCCCAAACTGATGTTTAAACAAGTAAAACAAATTTCTTGATGGAGAGATCCGGAGATCTCAAAAGCTTGCATGGAAAACGTCTACTAACTCGCAAACCACTGGTGCATTCCTAAGGGGATTTTGCTGTATGATGTAGCACCTGTTGACTTTTAGCATTCCTGTTCACCTTCACAACCTTCTTCATTCTTATTTGATTTAGTGTTCCCAAGCGTTAGATTACTTCATTGGATTGGTATTATTTTCTGTTCAAACATCTGAGGGCCTTCTAGCACGCATTTTCCACAGGTAAACCTGGCTTTGCTGTTCGTCGTAGCTCACTAAGAAGCTAAAAGCCGTCATGGCTCTCTGTTGAGTGTACCTAAGAACATAAGAAGAAGAATTCTGGATCAGACCAAAGGCTCGTCTACATCAGTGCGCGGTTCCTGCAGTGGTCAACCAGCTGCATGCAGGGAGCACATGAACAGGACATGAGCACAGTGGCACTCTCCTGTTGCTGCTTTCCAAAAACACAAGGCAGGCTCTGATCCTGGAGGTAACATATACACTGTCTTACAGAAGGATTCAGCCGCCTTTTGCCTTTTTCACATTTTGTTTTTGCTGCAATCTGGAACAGAAATGGATTAAAGTGACATTGTTCCTGCTTGATGTACACAAGATACTCAAAACTGATGCTGATTATATCTATTTTAGACCCGGTTTATGGCACAACAAAATGAGGAGAAGAGGTCTGGATACTTGTGGCAATCAGGACTAGTAGCCACGGAGAGCCTTCTCCTCCATGTATTTATCCAATCCTCCTTTAAAGCCACCTAGATTGGTGGCCAACATTACATTTGCCCAGAGAGCTTTGGCTATGGGGCAGTACAGAAAATGTATTAATAACAGCAGCAACAAAAAATCCGTAATTTCTATGCACATTGTGAACAAGTTCTTCCTTTTACCTGTCTTGAATCTCCCCCACCAAGCTGTTTATGACATTATGGGAAAGGGGAAAAAATGTCCCACTATCCGCTCTATCCTAGCAGTGTATGATTCTGCACACCGCTATCATTTCCCCCCTTTGCCACCTTTTCCCTAAAAGGTCCCAGAAGTTATAACCTTTCCTTATAGGGGAGTTACTCTGGTTCCTTGATCATTTTAATTGCCCTTTTCTGCATTTTTCCAATTTTCCAATAGCCTATCATTTCTGTCTTTACAGTATATCACACAGCTACCTGCAATATCTGCATGTTACATCTTCACTTATCTTCATCTTACTTTTACAGAAGTATACTTCCGACATTTGAAGCATGCGCCTAAAACTAACTGTAAGGTGTCAAGTAGACATTCTGTTTTAATGTGAGTTTGCCCAGAGAATCCCCAA